ATCTCTCTCTCTCCTCCTCTCTCTCTCTCTCTCTCTCTCTCTCTCTCTCTCTCTCTCTCTCATCCTCTCTGTTTTTCTCAATCCTTCCAAAAACCCTTCTTCAAATCTCTCCTCGAATCTTTATCTTTTTAAGCCCCCTCCCCGCAGCTCGATATATACTTATTATTAATAATAACCATTAATAGGTGTATAATCTATCTATCTATCTATCTATCTAACTAACTAACTATCTATCTATCTATCTATCTAACTATCTATCTATCTATCTATCTAGTAAAACAGCATCATATTAAAGTCTATCCTCCTCCTCCTCCTCGTTATCCTCGTTATTCTCCTCGGACTCCTCCTTGTATCCGGGGTGTTCCGAGATCGCGTAGTAATTCCCGTTGTAAATAACCCCGAGCTCCCTCAACACGTCTCCCCTAATGATAGCCTTGATCGTCCAGTTGTAACACTCCTCGCTCTCGCTCTCCCTGTCGAGCCGCTCCACGTCCAGTATCTTCGAGCTGAGCCGCTCCAGGATGATCCCTATGTCCTTGATGCTTAAGTGCTTCTGGTCTACGGTGAGCTGGTCGATGAGCAGTAAAAATTTCTCCGAGGTGACGATCTCGTCCTCCATGATCGTGTTCTCGGTCTCGGACTCGGAGCTGTCGTGCTCCTGGTGATGATTGTGGTGATGGTGGAGATGAAAGCTGGCCGTTGCCGAGTTGCCCGCCAACCGGGAGCTCGACTCCTCGTCCGCCGTGTCGCAGAATCTCACGTGCCCTTTGCTCAGCCCCGTTCGCCTCGTCCCGTCCGACAGGGAGGAGGGCGGCTGGGGGGATGGCGTCTGGGTCTGGGTCTGCTGCTGCTGGGGAGGATGATGATGAGGCGGCTGCTGCTGCTGTTGGTACTGCTGGTGTTGGGCGTCCTGGATAGGCGAGGTGGCCACCGACTTGTGCACCGCGATCCTGCGCCCCTCCTCGTGGAGGGCGCAGCAGTGGAAGTCGCACTCCCCGGCCGCCCCACCGTCCGCCCCGTTCACGGGGCTCCCGTTCCTCGTCACAGGCTGGTGGATGTGGTTCGAACACTCGGGCGTGTGGATATGAATGGTGGTGCTGTCGAACGAGTTGGTTCCCTGCTTCACCAGGCGGCCCGGGATCCCGTGGGGTTGGGGCTGGGGCTGGGGCTGCAGCTGCGGCTGCTGCTGCTGTCGTTACCACGGCGAGTTTTAATGGTTTGTCTGGATCGAAGATTCGAGGATATTCTCGAGGGCTACGCTACTGCGTGTCTATGCTATCGACTTTACGTACATTTTTTTCTTTTTTTTCTTTTTTAAGTTTCGCTCTCCGATCGAACCAAAGCGCTCGAGGCTTCCGAAAGGTTCACTCTTTTCAGCTTCAAGATTTTTTATTCGTTTAGAAAAAGTAAGTGGTCAAAAATTTCGAACAAAGTTCAGTGTTCATTGGTTGAACAGAAGTCTCGTGGAAGAAAGAATCTGATCGGTCAATATGGAAGGAAAACGTTCTATTTTTACACGTATTTTTGTTTCTAACTTGTTTCTAGTAGTAGCTCTTTTATTATTATTATAGCGATGCGTGGTGTCAGGTTTGTCAACAAAACGTCTAAAACGTGGAGATAGGCAACGGTACTGTTCTGGTGAAAAAAAGTCTCGCGGGAGGGGCGAGAGAGGCAAGAGAGGTTCTTCGCAGAATCGTTTATCCCCACTTCAGACGCTTTGTTGACAAACCTGACACCAGTAATAGAAGCTACATAGTAATAAAAGAGCTATATAATTTGATATATTTAAAATCGTAAAAATTATTTTTATTTATGAAGTTACGTTAGGCTAATTATCTAAGAAGTATGAAATATTACTTTTGATATAATATTAATACAACTATGGTATATCTATTCGTATACGTACAATTATTATCTTAATTACTAAACTATTGTTACAATTTAGCTTACACATATTATGAGAAACAAATTCTTACATTATACGTTAGAATACTTTGGATTCTATGGCTATTGCATTGAGTTTAGACTTTATTCTTCTTCACAATGTCACAATCGGATTAGTATATGCGACAAATACTATAGTACAAATGTGTAAAGATATTTCCTTCCACGTTGACCAATAGATCCGCATTCCTTCCGTGAGACTTCTTTCCTTGCTAATACTAATTAACTTCAATTATCAAATTTTGGTCATCTGTGTCCATGGATCTCCAGGGAACGTGAGATGGATACGATTGAAATCGAATTCCGGAAACCTCGCGATACTCGTGGTGGTAAAGAGCGAAAAGAAGACTCGAGAAATAGAGAAAGAAAAAGTGGAAGAAAAGAGAAGGTTAATCGGGAACTCGTACCATGTCGTCATGATTTATCACAGTGATGTGGGGGCTGGTGTAACGGCTGGGGCCGACCTCGGCCGTCAGATGTCCCAGCTTCCCCCCGTAGTTGAGCTTGTCCAGGCTTGTCTGGATGACCAGGGGTGGCCGCTGACTCAGATCGGTTTTCTTAGTCGGCGAATACTTGGAAGTCTGCACGTCTTGACCTTTCTGCTGTTGCTGGGCCTGAGACGACGTGGATGAACGCTGGTCCCAGTGTAGCACCACCGTGACTCGTCCTTTATTGTCCATGATCTTCCACGAGGGTGTCTCATCGTGTAGCTCCAGGGCGTGGATTGTTTCGCAGACTATTTTAGGTATGGCCGAAATCGCTGCAACCACGTGAAACACGGGTGTTAGAATACAGTTTTTCATTCGTCGCAAACATTTAAATATTTTTCTCTAAACTTTTTTAACAACAACATTCATAAACGTGAACGGATTCTTCATTCATCAGATATTGGATCAGCTTTTTAGTCATCCAATTTCATGCTTTTTTACACGCAATTTTCTACGTTTCCACGAATATATCGATCTCGTTTATGCGATTCATTAATACACGGTGGGCGTCGCTGCGGGAACAAATCGTTATCTGATCGCCCTCTTCGACGAATCTGCACTTTTGTCTTATTGTACTTACGAATCGATATAACGTGTTCCGCTCGCACAACTCGCATCCATTATCATCGCGAAAGTTGCCTTTGCTCGCGTCGATCGCGAAGCCGTAAATACGTCAGCTCGCTTTCACGAATGTTCACCCGGCTCTTTACCACGTACAGGACGCGTATACGATCTATAATTACACGCGAGTCGAGGCGAGTCGATCAATCGACGCTGAAAGGATTCGCTTTTCCCTCCCTTTCTTCACTTTTAAAAATAACTCGAGAGATAAATATTTAGCGGAAAAACCAATTATCATTAGAAGAACGTGATAGACCGCCATCGCCTTTCGTTACCTTTTGTTTACCAGATGGAAAGAACAGATAAAAGTAGCGACGCCTTTCAATCTCATCGATCGAGAATAATATATATCGTAGTTTTGTTTATCACTGATTGTTGCTCGAATGTATGAAGATTAGTAAGTTATTGTTTCTTAATCATTTTTAATCATTTTTATTATTGATCGTATGTCAATTTTCATATCATTCTGTTAATGATTGTTTCATTTTTGAGATGAAGAATATTGATAGAATTCTTTTTTAAAAAAGAATAAATAATATTAGTTTATGATAATAATAGATTAATATTATTTGGAGATTCGAGTATTCGTATCTTTCATTTTTCATTATTCAAAAACGAATTTTTTATACAGGGTGATTCGTAATATTTTAAAATGTTAATGTATATTAAAATAATTAAAAAAAGGATATCATTTATAATTTAGTTTTTATTCGCTCGTGTTGAATGTATAATAATTTTCAACGTATCAAAAAAAGAAAAAAATCTATTGGATTGAGATTGCGATTATTTTCTTTAATTTTTTCTGTAACTAGAAAAGTATTAGATATGTATGTATGTAAATTCATATGAATTTTTTTTAATTATTTCAATGTACGAATTCATCCTTTCAAGTGGACATGATAACTCTTACGAATCACTCTGTATATTCTCATTCAGATAGAAAATTGATACAGATACAATAGCCAATTTAAATTCCATTCAGATTTCTAATCCAGATACTCAAATAAGTACTTATAAGATTCCAGATGTGAAAACTTAAATTATGCTTAAAACTTAATAAATAATCTATATTTTCATACACTAAATTTTATAAACCTTGAACCTTTACAATCAATCCTTCAAATTTCTATAATCTTTCTTCAATTTCTCCTAAAGATATCAACACTCTTGTGTCTTTATCTAAAACAGAATTCATTGCAACGACGAATAGTGAATAGATATTTAAGCAACAAAGCTCCACACAAAATTTGCAGTTTACAAATGATTCTCGCAATCGTTTTTCAAATTCAAGTGACAACCAGTCATTCAAAATTACATATTATATACAAAAGCCAACAAGAGATCTATTTTCAAATAAAAATCGCCTCGCTCATCATCCTATTTGCCTACTTTCCACTAGAATTAAGAGGCACGCAAAGCCTCCCTTCCCCGTTTATCGCTAATTTATAGGCCAATCCTATCACACGTTCTCCGGTTAGATAGATACCAGCGCGTATGATGTCGACTCCAGTTGGACACCAACGTTCACCATGCCTTAGCAACAATAGGATCGTATTATTCGCTAGGGTTTTGAAGTATTCCCCGTCCTCCACTTGTGTACCGTCCGACTCCAACACTACGGATACATTCTCGCTTTGTGGCACGCCCAGTTTCTCCTTACCTAAAATTGGATGAGAAAACACGGAACGGCGATTAGTTGCAATTACAAGTGACGATCGCGCGTTTATGTTTATTATTGGGTCGATGATTAACGTTCGAGGCGTCGATTCGAAACTACTCGAGGGGAAGAAACGTGAAAAGAAGAAGGATAGATATATATATGTAGATAAAATAGAGAAAGAACGAGGTAACGTTCGTGATCCGTTTGCGAAGAGAGGAGGAGTATTCGATTCGAAGACATATTTTTTATTTCCACGAATTTTTTTTTTACCCTCGTATCGACTCATTTAGGCAAATTAAAAGATAATTTTGACGTGAAAGGTTGTTTATCATTTAATTTGAATGTTGTGTATGTCGAAATTGTTATTTAAAATTGAAGTAAAAAAAAAAAAAGAAAAAAAATTGATTATGGTATATTACAATTTCGAGAATAATCCAGAGAAAATTCATTCGCCCGTGATTAATTCGATTAACATAAATACAATTAGTCACGAATAGTTGAAAATCTTTTATCGCATTATTCTGTGCATATATGTTGAAACTAATACGTTAATTTAATTGATACAACATTTTTCAAATACGCTTTGTTCTGATGTAATGCCCAAGTCTGGCTCGAGTTAAATCCAATGGATTAATTCGATTCCAAGATGGAGAAAGTACACCTCTTTCTCTCTCTCTCTCTCTTTCTCTCTAATTAGAAAGGAATAATATTCACGATCTTTCTCGTCTACGATTCTTCCCTTTCAAGGATAGCCTCGTGATCGTGTTACTTAGTGATCTATTTTTTTTCTCTCTCTTTTCTCTCTCTCTCTTTCTCTCTCTC